TGGTTGTCTTGATTTGCATCTCTCTCAGGGCTAGGGATTTTGAACATTTCTTCATGTGCTTGTTGGCCATCTGAATGTCTTCCTTGGTGAAGTGATTGTTTCATTTTTTTTACTGTTGAATCTATAGATGTTGATTGTACATCTTAGTGAAAATTAAATCTTCTAAAATTTCAGTCTATTCTCTATCTTATTACTTGTTGTACCAGTTATGAGGATTTTTTATTTCTTTATGTTTCTTTATGTTGGTGTGTAATCCATACGATATAGTTTTTGAGTTTCATCAATAAGTGTTTAAAGTTTGCTTTTTGTGCAAAGTTGTATCATCTGCGTATTGCAGGCTGTTGATGAGTTTTCCTCCTATCCTGAAGCCACATTCTTCTTCAGATAATTCAGCTTCTCATATTATTTTGTTCCACGATTGGATAGGTGTGGTGAAAAGATAACCTTGGCACACACCTTCCCTGCAATAAACCATGCAATATCCTCTTACTCTATTTGAATGACTGCTTCTTGGTGCATGTTCAAATTCTGCATGAGCACAAGTAAATGTTCTGGAATTCCTTCTCTCATTATTATCCTTAATTTACTGTTATCTGTATAGAGCAATGTCTTTGAATAGTCAGTAAAACACAAGTAAACATTTCTCTTGTTATCTGCTTTTGAACCGAAATTTGTTTCTAGATGCTTCCAAAGTAAGTTTTAGTGTTCTTTTAGCTTTGAGAATACAGAAGACATTTTCCTACAGTTTTTCTAGTAATATCCTCATGCTGAGAGGCAGAGTCCCCATAAACAAGGTGTCTACAGGCTCCCTCATGTCCGTTCTAGTTCTTCCATTCTCACCCCAGGGCGTTTTTGCTGCTACCACTCTGACCTCTTTCCAGCCTGAACATCTCAAAGAGGAGCCTGTAACTTCTAATATCCCTTAGATGCTTCTGGTTTCTTAAGTCCCACCATTTAAAGACTAGGGAAATGAAGAGTATTAGAGATGTATCATCTCTCCTTATCCCTTCACATTTGGATGAGGTATATTTTTAAGTTGATTAATACTAAAGCTATATGGATAAATATGTAAGAAAATATAAAACAATGGGATCTCAAATTGTAAAGTATCATGGAGGTAACAATAAAATTAAAATAGTTGATTATTTTGTTTAGTGTTTTACAGTGTTTATGCAGTTTTATATTAATAGTTATATTGTTGTTGTATACTATTGAGTTGGAATCAACCCGTAGCTGACCCTTCAACAGGTTTTCAGAGGCAATAAATTCTACAGGAGGAAATACCACAACTCTAAGCAGCCATGTATGGTAAATTTGGATGTTATTGTCACATCTGACAGCTCACAAAAGTTAAGCAGCTTGACCAAGGAGATATGACTAGAGAATAGGCCTTTTTACTTCTGGCCCAGGACACTTCACCACTCTTTAGATTGCCTTTCCAATTGCTTTCACAATAACTTAACTTGTGTAATAATTTCTAGAATCCCTAAAGTATATATGTATTTGTTGTTGTTTGGTGCCGTCGAGTCGTAGACGACTTATAGCGACCTTATGAATGAACGGCCTGAGCACTGTTCGTACATAGAGTTTCCGGAGGCAAGCCATTTCAGAAGTGGATGCCACTCCTGCTTCCAGGCTTGTTTTAGTCGGGAAGCTTCAGCCAACACTGTCCACCATGGGTACCCATTACCACGATTGGCACATCACTGTCACAGTCTTCAGCATCACAGCAACCACGAGTTACCTCTGTACAGCAACGGACAGACCAGTGCTATACCACCTAGAAGAATGTTTGACAGGAAAACAATTTGAACCTGGCCGAGGGCCGCAGATGAAAATCACCCACCTTCGGCTTGGTAGCATAACTTCCTTTCCACTAGGCCAACATAATTGTCATTGTTATATATATGTACTAACCTGTATTATTCTTTCAACAATTTCTATTATATTGATCTGTAGAATTTAAAATGTAAGTATAGCACATTGAGTATAGAAGAATAAGATTTTCTTACATAGTTTGATAACTTTGCAAAGCAGAGTTAAAAGGTGGTTTGAAAAATATCAGTATACCTAGAATATGTGTATTATTTCCAGAAGGTAGTAATTTTCTTTTAAGGAGGATATACCTTTGGTTATGTGAGTGCTTAAATTATTCTCCCTCCATATAATGTATTTTTAAGCATTTATATTTATTTTACTATGCAATAGAAATGCCTATTTCCCATCAGGTATTACATTAAGAAAGTGTAATCATATTGTATGTTTGTTTTGTCTTAAGAGTTTTGTACTGTGGGAGTAAATGAATTGATAGCTGTTATAAAGACCAGACCTTTGTCCTTATCTCAACTGTTTTCCCTACTCAAACTGTGCTTACAAGTATTCATACTCAGGAGTGATACTGAAAATATTTAACACCTACTATGACATAGTCAGTGATCAAGCTGAACATATTTAAATAAATATGATTGTTTCGATGCCTACTGGTACCCCACAAGCTCTGTTCAGTTACACAATGACTTACACTTTTCCAAGTACTTTTATATTCATTCTCTCATTTGCCCTGAAGAGAAGCATAGTGTCTTTCTCCATTTCCAAATTAAGGTTATCACAGCCAGAAGAAGTTAAACATAGGGTTCTTTAAAATGAAAAGACTTGGCTGTTAATTCTATCTTCCTCCTTTAGTAGAAGTTTCCCTTTTTTCTTCAGGGAGAATGTTGAGATGAGAGGTGCTATTTTTGATTGGACAAATGTCAGCGCCTTTCAGAGAAAATGCACAGAAGGTGATAGGCAGAAGGAGTAACCCCTATTCCCCCTGAAATCTTTCACTTCAGGCTCCTTTCAGGTTATGCCTGCTTTTGAGAGTAAGACTGACTCAAGAGAATAGCTTCCCCCTCCCCCCCAATGGAGTGACTTATCCAGCCTCTTATCTCCATATTCTCAAAGACATTTTAAGTACAAAGCTTTACTTTAAAATTATTCTCTATTGGCAACATGTTTTTTCCTCTCTCCTTCCACAGAATGGTCTCCCCTCAACAGAAAATCCATATGTTTTCAATGGCGATTTTGTAGATCGAGGGAAAAACTCCATAGAGATCCTGATGATCTTGTTAGTGACTTTGCTTGTCTATCCCAATGACTTGCACTTGAACAGAGGGAACCATGAAGATTTTCTGATGAACCTGAGGTAACTTAGACCTTTAGATTTCTTTATTTTTTTTAATTGTATTTCATTCATGTACATTGTGTTTTAGAAATCATTCAAATGCATTGTGTTTCATTCATGTGTGTTGTGTTTTATACAGCCATTCATTTACACTGTGATTTATATAACTAAATTACTATTGATTTATGCATTTTATCACCCACTCGTCTCAAGTCCTCATTGTACCTTGCTTATTCCTTCACACCCCCCATCTGCTGACTAGTCTCTTATCCCAGTGATTCCCCCATTTTTTTTCTCCCCCTTCTCTTTTGCCCCTTCCCTTTTTGATCCCCTTTACCTGTATTGTTCCTATTTGCTAATTTCAAAAGCCATCTATACTGTCGTTATCCCTATTCTTCCCGGGTTGATCCTCCCTCATCCTAGTCCTGTACAGTGTTCATTGTCTGAACATTCTATTTCTGTTCTCCTCCCTCCCATCCAACCCCTCAGTTACCTTCCTGTTTTCACAGTAGCAGTCTTATGCAATAATTATCCTTTTGTGATTAGTTACTTCACTTAACATAATTCCCTCTAGATTCTCCCATGTTGTGTAGTATTTTACGAATACTTTATTGTTCTTTAGTGCTGCATGGTTTTCCATTGTGTGAACATACCAATTTGTCTAGCCATTCATTTGTTGATGGGAATTTAGGCTGTTTTGATTTTGTTATTGTGAATGATGCTGCAATGAATATATATGTTCATATCTCCATTTGGGCCTTGGCTCTGATTTCCTTGGGGTATATTCTTAGTAATGGAATAGCTGAGTCATAAAGGATTTCTATATCCACCTTTTTGAGGAAATGCCAAACTGCCTTCCAGAGTGGTTGTACCATTTTACAATCCCACTAACAGTGTATGAGAGTTCCAATCTCTCTGCATCCTCTCCAACATTTATTGTTTGCTGTCCTTTTCAACTTTGCTATTGCTGCTGTAATGAGATGGTATCTCGTTGTTTTGATAAGCATCTCTCTGATTGCTATTGATTTTAAGCATTTTTTGTTGGCCAACCTAGTATTCTTCTTGGAGAAGAGTCTTTTCATGTCTTTTGTCCATCTTGTAATTGGGTTATGAATCTTTTGTTTTGTGTGGCAGCATGGTGTTGTTGTTGTTGGGTTCCATTATGTCATAACTGGCCCATAGCTGACCCTCCAGTGAATTTTCAGAGGCAGTTGATCGCACAGGAAGAGATTGACTATCCTTCTCCTGCAGAGTAGCTGGTGGATTTGAACTGCTAGCATGGTAGTACTCTATAAATTTTAGTTATGGGATCCTTGTCTGAAATGCCATTGTCAGATGTTCTTTTCCATTTACAAAAATCAACTCAAAGTAGATCAGAGACATAGGAGTAAAACTAAAACCAATAAATCATTAGAGAAAAAAAAACCAAACAAATTTAGAAATCTATGGCATGGATAGGCTTGCAAACATAGCCAAAAATGCATAACTAGGAGAAGATAAAATAGATAAAAAGGGACCTTCTTAAAATCAAATCCCTATGTGCATTAGATTTCTTCTTTTACCTCTTGTTCCAAAAAATGCTGTTCAATTGCCCGCTGAAACTTGGCTATAAGGATGGTGGAAGGGAGGGGTAGATCTGAAGGAAGGCCTCAACTCTTACCCTTATTTATGAACCCCAGTCTTCTGAAGCCTCCTTCCTAACTTTTCTTCCAGTTCTATTGTTTTCCTCATTCTAACTTCTATTTTGTTCTTTCTTTCCTTCCTATATGCACTCTTCACAGTCAGTGTTGTGTGTTGGGATGTGTTAGGCCAGGTTTGGAGGTATGGTACATTATATGAGCCATCTAGGGCTCATTCTGTCACTGCTATTTTGGATTTCCTCAGATTTTGTCTCAGAAACTACTGTTGTGATAGTCACTAATGTGTTTATTTTGTATGATGTGGTAATAACTTCTGGCATACTTGTTCATAAACATATTTGAGAACAGCTGTAACATAGCATTTCAACTCTCACTAAAGATTTAAGGAATAAAGATTGGATAAATGGTTTCAGAATTTTTGCTGAAAGCCATAGTAAATGGAAAATGTCCTTTTTCTTTCTTTCTTTCTCTTTCTCTACATCCTGTCTTTCTTTTTTTTTTTATTTTATTTTCTGACAACCAGAACCTGGTTTGCTTTATTACAGTTGAAAGCATGGTATGTTTTTGCTTAGACTTGAGAAAAGCTCAGGAAGGCAAGAGTATAGAATGAGGGACAGGATAATACTTTATAGAACTGGAAAAGTAAGAATTGCTTATTTGCCTTTTGTCTGAAGTCAATAATTATCTCTCTGTTGTTGTTGTTGTTATTGTTGTTGTTATGTGCCGTCGAGTCGTTTCCGACTCATAGCGACCCTATGCACAACAGCCCTAAACCCTGCTCTATCCTGCGCCAACCGCACTGCCTCTGACACACGCATCCCGATTACCCCAGTCACCAAATCAATCCATCTCAAAGAGGGTCTTCCCCTCCTGCGCTGTCCCTCCACCTTCCCAAGCATGATGTCCCTCTCCAAGGACCCGTCCCTCCTGGCAACATGTCCAAAGTATGTCAGACGAAGCCCCAGAATCCTTGCCTCCAAGGAGTAGCTTGGTTTAATCCTCTCCAAGATGAATCTGTTTGTTTTCCTGGCAGTCCATGGTATATTCAGTACCCTTCTCCAGCACCACAGCTCAAAAGCATCCACTCTCCTGTCCTTCCTAGTCATTGTCCAACTCTCTGATGCATAACAAGCGATTGCAAATACCATGGCCTGTATCAGGCGCACCTTAGTCTCCAGAGAGACACTGTTGCTCCTGAGTACCTTTGAGAGGTCCCTAACAGCAGACTTTCCCATCGCGATACGCTTTTTGATTTCCTGACTGCTGGTGCCAAGAGTGTTGACTGTGGAGCCGAGCAAACTGAAGCTGTGAACACTCTCAATCTCTTCGTCATCCATCCTGACGCTGCTAATTGGTCCAGTGGCGAGAATCTTTGTCTTCTTGACATTGAGCCTCAGTCCATACTGAAGGCTGCAGTCCTTGACCCTTCGCAGGAAGTGCATGAGGTCCTCCTCATTTTCAGCAAGCAGGGTTGTGTCATCTGCATAACGGAGATTGTTAATAGATCTTCCACCAATCCTGATGACACAATTCTCCTCATAGAGCCCAGCCTCTCGGATAATCTGCTCTGCTTACATGTTGAAAAGGTATGGAGACAGGATGCATCCCTGGCGTACACCCTTCCCAATTTTGAACCATGCAGTGTTACCCTGCTCTGTTCTGACTACTGCCTCTTGGTCCAAGTATAGGTTTCGCATTAGCACAATTAAATGTTCTGGGATTCCCATTCTTCTCAGAGTCAGCCACAGTTTGTTATGATCCACACAGTCAAATGCCTTTGCATAATCAATGAAACACAGATAGACATTCCTCTGGTATTCTCTGCTTTCAGCCAAGATCCTTCTAACATCAGCAACAATATCCCTAGTACCACGACCCCTTCTAAACCCAGCCTGGACTTCCGGCAGTTCTCTGCTAATCGTTTTTGGATGATCTTCAGCAGAATCTTGCTTGCATGTGAAATCAATGACACTGTTCTGTAGTTTCCACACTCAGTTGGGTCACCCTTCTTTGGAATGGGAACAAATATAGATCTCTTCCAGTCAGTTGGCCAAGTGGTTGTTCTCCAGATTTCTTGGCACAACTTGGAGAGAGAAAATTATCTCTCTAGAGTATTATAAAATTTGTGCTTTAAAATGCAATAGGGCAGATTGGGATAAAATAGAAGTAGCTATATCTGTTTTGGGGTATTGTAAATGGTTAACAAGTTTGACAGTTAACTGAAAATTTGAGTCCATTCTCAAAAGAAAAACCTGGGAATCTACTTCAGAAAAGTCAGCTGTCAAAACCCCTAGGAAGCACAATTTTACTCTGGCACATATGGGGTTGCTATGAGCAACTGGGAAATAAAAGAGAGTGCATATACAAAGGCCAATTAGGAAGTCATTAATAGATTCTCCCTTAAACTAGAGGGGTAGTGATGTAGAAGCAAAGCAGTGGATAGAGTCAGGAAGAATTTATGCCTGATGATTTCGAACTGGGTAACATGATACGGCAGATTTGGAAGAGGAGAGAATCAAAGATGAACTCCAAGCTCCTGGCTTTAGTTTGGGGTATTCAAACGTGGAACATGAAAAGAGGGATGTGTTGCGATGAGTTTGGTTTGAGGTAAGCTTATTTGGTGTGCTTTTGAAATAGCAGTTGAGTTTGTGTGCAAAGCTCAGAAATGAAGTGTGACCTGAGGATTTGCTCTGTGACATTGATAGTAACAGAAGCCTTAGGCAGGGATGAAGTTGCCAAGGTAGGAAGTGAAGGGCAACAAGGGCCTAGGGTACAACTTGAAAGAACACTACCATTTAAGGCTGGGCAGAAGAGGAGAACTTGCAAAGGAGATTCACAGTAGTCAGAAAGGAAGGAAAAAAGCCAGTTTGCTGTCACAGAATCCAAGAGAAGAATAATCCTTTAGGAAGGACAGTGTAGTCAACTGTATTTAATGCTTCAGAGAAGATGAAAAAGTGGAGCTTGCTAAGTTCCCTTTGTATTAACAATGGTGGACACCTTTGGTCAGTGCTGGACTGAATTCACCTCTAAAGTTACCTTGTAGATGCCTAACATGACAGGGCTTGCATGTGAATCTGGAGTAAATACTGTGTCCCAAATTCCCTGTGTTGCTTTTTAAGGGTACATGTGATATTCTAAGACAAGGAAAAAAGTAACTGAAAAACATTCACATCATCAAAACTCCCTTAACTACTGCTACTCAAGCATTGAAAATTCTGACATTTCCTATTTAGAACCCTGACCGCCATTACAAGAACTGTATCAGAGAAAGCATAAAGAGCCAACTTGTTATCTTCTAGGCTTTTCCTTGCTCAATCTTTTTAAAAAAATCATGTAAAATATAGGATACCTGAGAAATTCTATCTAAATGAAAAGCATTCTCCTACACAGATTCTCCTATTAGAACACAATTCTCTGAATATTTGCAGCACTTGCCAACCTGTACCAACCACCTATTTCTGAAATTGTCTTCTTATTGTTTCATGAAGATTTATCTTCTTCCCCTAACTATATGATAATATAGTGTACATATATCTTATAAGACCCTTGAGAGCAAGGTGAAGCTGTTGTTTGCTTGTACTCTCTCCTATCATTTCTAATAATTTCTAACTAAAGTCATATTTCTCGAAACTTGTAATAGAGAGTGGTCAAATACTGCCCTTGTTGCATAATTTAGTTAAGTATGAGTTATCTATATTTAATTAAAGAGTTTTAATTCCCCTTCCCTTTTTCTCAGATATGGCTTCACAAAAGAAATTATGCAAAAATATAAGGTAAGCCTTATATTCTTTTTTCTCCTCACTCTCTTTCTCATGTATAGACACAGTCCACACCAACAGACTGAAAAAGCACACCAAGGAAGCCCTGATCATGCTAGAGTCTTGTACTTACTTTCTATACTAAATCAAACTTGTTGTTTTGCCTTCAAATAAGATATATACAGAAAGTATTCCATCCACTAATGAATTAAATTCCAATTGTTTAGGTTATGTGATTTCTGAAAAGTTGGGGGTAGCTTCAAGCCCTAAAGCGAGTGAATTAGTAACAGTAGGCTATTAGCTCCTGTGCCTGTATCATTTAGGCAGGATTGAGGTCAGTACAAGTTATCACAGAGGCAGAAGTGGTAAACAATAAGTACATGATTTGTCCCCTGAGAACTGTAATGGAATGATTAGATTAAGATTAAAGTCTGTATAACCTTGGGTTGGAGGCATTGGTGGTTCACTGGTAGAAGTCTCTCCTTCTATATGAGAGATTCGGCTTCAATTTCCAGTCATGGCACCTCATATGCTGCTATTATCCATCAGTCAGTGGAAGCTTACATACTGCTATGGCATCAAGAGCATTTCAGCAGAGTTTTCAGGCTAAGATAGACTTGGGAGAAAGGTGTGATGATCTATTTAAGTGTTGATCAATGGAGTTTATTCCATTGTGCATTCCCCATGTGCATGGCGTTGTCATGAGTTAGGGGTTGACTCGATGGCAAGAAATAATAATAAAAATAACAGGATGAGAGTTAAGAGCCTAAGCTCTTTGCGTTGTGTAACAGAATGAAATTAAAATTTTGGTTCCCTATTTATACTTTATGTTAGCTAATACAAGTTATCTTTCAGTAAAATGGAGATTATAATAATACATTTTTCTTAAAGACTGTGAAAATTAACCCTACACAATAACTGGTGCATATTGTTGTTGTTAGATGCTGTTGAATTCAGTATGACTCATAGCAACTGTCTAAACAACAGACGCGAATCCCGTCCTATGTTGTCCCATCCTCATTATCTCTAATACACTTGAGCCCATTGCTGCAGTCACCTTGTCAATGCTTCTTCATAGTGCATGTTGTTGTTGTTGTTTTGTGCCATTGAGTCATTTGTGACTCATTACGACCCTATATACAAGAGCCCTAAACCCTGGTCTATCCTGTAGGAAGCACAAAATAAATGGTAGCTAGTAGTACTATTAGCAAGTTCTAGTGACCTAGTGGTAAGAAGCTGCACTGCAATCCCAGAGGCATATGGTTCAAATCCAATAGCTGTTCTACAGGAGAGGGATGGGCAGTACCCTCCTGTGCAATTAACTACCTCTAAAAACCCACCATAGGGTCAACTGTAGGTCAGTTCTGACTCGATGGTACACAACAACAACAGTAATACTATTAGAAATATTAGTATTAAAAAATAGTAATTAGCAAAAAACATATTGCGATGGGAAAGTCTTCTGTTAGGGACCTCTATAAAGTACTCAAGAGCAACTGTGTCTCTCTGGAGACTAAGGTGTGCCTGATACAGGCCATGGTCTTTGCAATCACTTGTTATGCATCAGAGAGTTGGACAATGACTAGAGAGTATAGAAGGAGAATTGATGCCTTTGAGCTGTGGTGCTGGAGAATAGTATTGACTGTACCCTGGACTGCCAAGAAAACAAACAGATTCATCCTAGAGAGGGTTAAACCAGACTACTCCTTGGAGGCAAGGATTCTGGGGCTTCGCCTGACATACTTTGGACATGTTGTAAGGAGAGACAGGTCCTTGGAGAGGGACATCATGCTGGGTAGAGTAGAGGGACAGCACAGGAGGGGAAGACCCTCTATGAGGTGGATTGATTCAGTGACTGGGGTAATCGGGATGGGTGTGTCAGAGGCAATGTGGTTGGCACAGGATAGAGCACAGTTTAGGGCTGTTGTACATAGGGTCGCTATGAGTCGCAAACGACTCGATGGCATATAACAACAACAACATGATTAGTAGTACTATTGGGAAAAGTACGATTGAAAGTAGTATTAGAAAACATTGAAGTTTTTAGAGATTTCATTTCCTTGGATTGACTTCTATTTTCATGGAAGTGGCAATTAAGAAAAGAATGTTTTGGGTAAATCGGCTACTAAAGACCTCTTTAAAGTGCTAAAGAACAAAGATATCTCTTTAAAGACTAACATGCATCTGCCCCAAGCCTTGGTATTTTCAATTTCTTCACATGCTTTTGCAATTTAGACAATGAATAAGAATGACCAAAGAATTGATCCCTTTGATGAAGAATACTGACTATGCCATAGACTGACAAAAGAACTAGAGGCAAGATTACTGAGACTTACAATCTTACATACTTTGAGCATGTTATCCAGAGGAGCCAGTCCTTGGAAGAGGGGCATTGCCCTTGCAAAGGTGGAGGGTCAGAGAAGAATACCCTCAGTGAGACAAATTGATGCACTGACTGCAGCAGTGGGTTTAAGTACAGTGGGGACTGTGAGGAGGGCTTGGGATCGGATTTTTGATACATAAGACTCAACTCAATAGCACCTAGCAACAGTAGTAATATTATTTGAAGGAAAAACACAAGTGTGAACAAATGTGAGTGAAAATCATTATACACATGAAAACAAATACTTCCATTAAGGTGGAGTACAAAAGAAGACACAAGGTAGGTCCACAAAAGATGTATGGAGCCAAGTTTATGGTCTTCTATTGTCATGACTGACCTCATACCACAGTACTTGTACAGGAGGCCTCAAAAAAGTTTCCCTTTCCATTAGAGCTCTTTTGGCTTAAGAATCCAGAGTTATTTTATAATCCTGTGGTTTATAAGTATTTGTTTAATGAACATTGGCTGGAAGTTCCTGCCCTTTTAGAAAATTGGTATCTAAATATGTTGCCTTTAGCCAATGAACAAAGCAAGCTAGTGTGAAAACACAGGAGATGAAGAAAGAGCTGTAGTTACAGGTCCAAGAAGGTAGTTTGCAGTTCCTAAAGTAACTATTATTCCAGGACTCTTGGCACCAGGATAGCAAAAATGGAATGCCTGTTCCCTAAATAAAATATGGTACATAGTTTCTGAGGCAAGTTGCAACCTCCAGGCTTTTTTCCTACAAATATTTTTTGAGAACCTAAAATACATCTGACCCTATGCTGACATTGGAGATAGAGAAGCAAATATGACACAATCCCTGTCTTCAAAGAGCTTATATATAGTCCATTGGGAGACCTTGATGTATAAAGAAAGACAACCTTTTCTTTGACTCTGGCCATGATCACAGACTAAATTGATGGGCAGAATTGCTTTGGCAGGTTCCTGATTGGGGGAAAGAGAAGAGGCAGTAAATAGCTATAAAGCAAATTCAAATGGAATCTCCATGCACTGAAATGACAATGGGAGATTCTAGAAAGACTAAGCTGTCTATATAACCTTGACCATGACACTTCTGCACTAAAAAGAGGCTGGAGGAGTTATAAATGTTTAGGGACTTGGAATAATAAGAATAATAATTTTTAAAAGAATAGAATAAAACCCCACATCTGCAGACTTACTAATCTCAACTCCTTGTTTAAACAAAGGACCTTTGAAATAAACGAATCATGTAGGGTTGGTTCTTAATCTTTATGGCAGGAAGCATTCCTCTTTAGTTACTGGTTAAGCATTCTTTTTTCATGGAAACAGGAGTAAAAACCCAGTCATTCTTATATGGCCTCAGGTCCAAACCCAGTGAGACATTGTGATCAGAAAAAGAAATAGTCATAGAATTCTTAGAAGAGGCAATATGATTATTTTAAAGGTTACCAGGCTGTACAAGGTGATGGAGAATATATAAGATATTTGAAGTCATAACAAAATATGTTAAAATCCTGATTCTCCTATGATTCTCCTATCAGTGGCATCTTGGGATGAGTTTCTTCATCTGTATAATGAAATTTATAATTTCTGTTTCATGAGGAATTTACAAAGGTCTAGAGAAAGAATGCATGTGAAAATGAATTTCTGTTTTATTCTCTTGTTTGACATAAAAATAGGTGATGATTTAATGTAAAGATTAGACCACGAGAGAGATGGACACTCTTTCAGATTCACTAGAAAGTAAAGTTGATAGAAACATTGTCTCCCTAGAGTGGGGTGGGGGTGGAGGAGGTGGTTCTATTTGGTGAGAGGTATCAGCAGGAGAATTCCCAAGAATCCTGATACAAATGTCTTACATTCCTTGTCTTTTTCCACCCCTCCCCCCAGTTCCTTCTTTTCTAGACGTCTCCATTTGATGACCTGTAATTTTGCATTCCTACTACAGTCAGATCAAACTATATAGAAAACTTTACTGTTTAAAAAACTATACAGTAAAGTTTTCTGTGATTTTTTAAAAAGGAAGTTTAGAGTGCTTATTTGATGAGGGCATTCAACCAGGATTGGGAGTGTTATTTCAGAATAAACTTTAAATCACTTAGTCTGTCATATAAAGGTCCTAGAAGATTGGCCTACAAATTACTTTCCCGACTTTACCTTTCTCTCTTTTCTCAGGTATCATTTGAGCTTTAGTAAAAATGACCTGCTTACTGTTCTCTGAATTCGACCTCTACTTGCCAGCTTTAATTCCTCTTCTAAAGCTACAACCTCTACTCAAAGGACTCTTTTCACATCTCCAATAGTCATAAATCCTAGTCATTCTTTAGAGTTCAATTTAGATGCTATCTCCTCCACAGTGTTTTTTTTGAATTTTCAGTAAGGCTTCACTTTCTTATCCTCTTTATTCCCAAAGCCCTAGATTCAGAATCACTGAGACTGTGGCACTCATTTTAGCTATTAGTATACATATCTCATTTCTCCTATTCAATTATACATGTCTAGAGGGTACAGACTATGTCTTATCATACAACATCAGAAAGAGTTTGTCAGACCTAATTATTTTCTTGGAAGTTATAGAGAACAAGAGTTATTCAGAACCAGAGCTACAGAAGTGACCACTTCACTGGTATTCTTTTAATGGATTAATATTTGACTCAAATTTGACACTAATTTGCCTCAAAATTTGCCTGGTTTAAGGTCTCTTCAGCTGCCTATTGATGATTTCTCTAAAACGTATTCAGTGGCCTAATCTTGCCATGAAATCCTTACTGGTTAGCTGAACATTCACATTGAAACATAATCCTCCTTAAAAGGTTCTAGTTGCTTAATGACTCCATACTACAATCCCTAGAGCAGGTGGTATGAAAACAGTTGCTTTCTGTCCATACACTATGACAGGTAAGCCTAAACCTGTCAGGAAAACAAAACTTACTCAAGCTCTTTCTTTACAGCTATATGGAGGGAAGATCTTGAAAATATTAGAAGAAGTCTATCCCTGGATCCCAATTGCCACAATAATTGACAATGAAATTCTCGTCATACATGGCGGGCTGTCCGAGTCCACGGACTTGAATTTACTCCACCGTATAGAAAGAAATAAAGTAAGACCTAAAGTCTGTTTAAATCTTATCTCAGCCATATAAGGAAATATGTGCCTCTTTGTATATATTGTCATATATTGATTTATGCTTTTAAAAATTGCTTTGTGTAGAGGAAAATACCAGTAAAACTTTAGGGAAAATGTGTGATTTACTGATAAAGAACTAAAGGAGGAACTTCCATATATGAAACATTTTTTTAAAAAATTCATAATAGAAGTGAGGAAATGAAGAAACTTTGCTGTTTCATATAGTTTCCAGAAGTAAAATATTATGGCATTTTTACAAGGGAAATAGCAGTTTCTTTTTAAATTAATATAATTTCCTTTATACTTAAAATGGCTCAGGAGGATTTTAAACCCAATTCAAGAGCCCTTGGTGGCACAGTAAGTGACTGACATAGTAAGTAACTTACATACATAGTAAGTTAGTTACCTGGTTGACTGCTAACCCAAAGGCCGGAGGTTTGAATTCACCAATCTGGGGAAGAAAGTGAGACATCTCCACCCACAAAAATGTACAGGTTCAGAAACCAAACAGACGCCCACTATGGGCTGCAGTTGAATCAATGGCAGTATGGGTTTGGCTTCTATAATAATCTTATTTATAGGAGGTGCTGAACAGGAAAACATGTCTACAACCCCTGAGAGAATGATTACATGATGTTCACACTTAGTGAAGGGCTTTCTCCAGTAGACCTTGATGAGTAAGCTCTTCCACTACCAATGCTAAGCAGAAGCACCCAGACTATAGGTGAAGGCTGTGGGACAACACGTAGGTGTGAGGACCATTAGTAGCTATAATAGGAAATATGATAGCTTTATCACTAGGATTGTTGTTATGTGCTGTTGAGTCAGAACCAATTCATAGCTGACCCTCCAGAGGGTTTTCAGAGGCTATAAATCACTCGGGAGGGGACTGCCCTTCTTTCTCCCACAGAGCATCTGGTGGATTTGAACCACTTGCATTTGGGTTGACAGTGCAACCTCTTACCACTAGGCCACCAGAGCTCTAGAAACCATAATAAATTATTAGCAGGGTTCAGTTGAGAACCACACAGCATTTCATTTCAAAGAAGAGTTTCAAAGTTTTTCAGTCAGTGTCCTCTTTGAGAACTTCCCTAGATACATACAAATATACTTTCTCTCATTTCTCTAGGAAAATACAATTAAACTCCTAAGAATTATTTTTAACTCCTCAAAACATGGTTCTTAGTCCTACTATAGCTAAAGGTTCAGAATGCCTAGTTTTTGCTACTCTTACCAGCTTCTATTTCCTGTGGTTGTTGCCTCAGAACATGTTTAGCACCTGCCTCTAAGGTCCTCCTAGAGCTCTAAAGAGAAACTATCCATATAAAACAATGTCTCTAGTTGAAATATAAACCCCAAATTAACAATCCTGCTTTACATAGTAAACTGTATCAAAGAGATGGCTGATATGTCTTTCCCATATGTCTGTCTTTTACTGGATTGAGCAACAATACAGACCACACCAACTGGTACTAAATTGTCTGCATGCAACACACTAAGCATAGGATTTGACTAATGCGGAAATTTGTTTTGCAGGTGAAATCTGTGCTAATGCCACCTATTCAGACAGATGAAGACTTTCCTCTTGAGTTTATGACAGATAAAAGCAAGAGAGAGAGGTCAAGTATAACTCTTTCTGAACAGTTATTACAGCAAGAATGGGATCAGGTTGGTAACCAAAACTATATAGAAACCAGATGTCCACCAAAGTGATAACACTGACATAATGCAACCCCTGGCAACCTACATATAAAAAGTGATTTTACCTTTATTAACAGATTGTAACATTTTAATCTGAATTCCTCACTATACTTTTGCAATTTTATTGAATTTTATGAACTCATATACTTTATAACTCACCCATTTGAAATGCATAATTCAGTAGTTTTTAATATATTCATAGAGTTGTGTGACTATCACCACAGTTTAATTTTAGAATGCTTTCCCACACTTAAAACAAAGTAAAAAAAAATTTTTTTAAAAACCCACAAAGTCCATCCACATTAACAAACACTCCTCAATGCCTCCTCCTCTTCAGGCTTTAGTCAAGCACAAGTCTGCCTTGCACAAATTTGCCTGTTCGAGACATACTGCGTACATGAATGGACTCAGAAAATATGTGGACTGTGTTCATTCATGCTATGGAATGTATAAATACTTATTCATTTTTAGTATTGAATAATATTCCATTGTGCAACTACATTTTACTTACACATTTAGTAGCCATATGATCTGTTTGTAATTTTTAGCTATTAATAATGCTACTGTCAGCATTTTTACACAAATTTTTGTTTGGACTTAGGGGTTTTTTTCTCAGTTATGTATCGAGGAATGGAATCACTAGGTCTTAAGGTAAACCTAAATTGAACATTTCCAAACTGTTTTCCAAGTGTTGGCATCATTTTACATTGCCACCAGCAATGTATGAAGATAGGAATTTCTATGCAATCTTGCCAACACTTGTTGTTGAATGTCCATCTTAGAGGGTATGTGGTAGAATTTCCTTGTGGTGTCATCAAAGTAATATATTCCCTTAGTGACTAGTGTTGTTGGACATCTATTAATGAGCTTGTTGAATGTTTACATATTTTTTAATTTCTAATAATATCCTTTTCCCATTTATAAATACCTTTTATTGTGTTTTAGATGAAAGTTTACAGAGTAAATAAATTTTCTACTCAACAGTTTGTACATTTTGTTTTATGCCATTTATTGCAGTCCCCACACCAACACTCATCTCATGTCCTCCCTGTGTTTCAGGTTTCCATGCATCTTTTTCCCTGTCCCTTTCTGCCTTCTGAATTTTTGACCCTGTAAAAAGCTAGCCTTTTAATCTTGAGTGGTTGATTGTTATAAAGAATCTATACCTCCCTGATGTGTCACTGTTTACCTAATGTTGCTGTTGTTAAGTGCTGATGAGTTGAGCACGACTCATAGTGACCCTATGAACAAAAGACCTGAATCCTGTTCTATAACTATCATTGTTTCTCTAAGTTCATAGAATTTTCCAGGGGCATGTTGTTTAGGAAGTGGATATTCACCTAATAGACCTATTGTTTTATTGAAAGTTGAGTACAGCATAAGTTCAATTGGTTTCTGGCTTGAAGAATAACTAAAAGCCATAGTGTAGGGGTTTCCACCAGTCTCCATCTGACAAATGAGCCCTTAAATTATTTTTCTATTATCGCATTGTAAGAATTCTTTATGTACTCAACATATAGGTTCCTTATCAGAGCTTATCAGATTATTTAAATTTACTCCTGTGAATTCACGCCTTTTCATTTTTAAAATGGTGTTATTTGCAGCACAGAAGTGTGCCATTTTATTTATTAAATGTAACTTACCTGTTTTTTCCTTTGATTAAGCAACCAAAAGCCATTAAGATTTTAGCCTAACCTGAAGCCATAAAGATTTATTCCTGTTTTATTCCAAGTGTCTGTAGGTTTTGGTTCCGGTTTTGTTTTTGGAGGTTTTTGGTGAGAAAAAATTTGTATTTTGAATTAGCCAGCTGGACTCCGTTTACATGATCCTAAATTTGTTGACAACATTCAAGGCATCATAGTCAGGAGCAAGTCAAACATAGGCCTTCTTGTTTCCATCAGGCCTAATCAAGGTGTGTTGACCTTAACTACATCAGTGTCCTAGAGCTTCTTTACAGCTTGTTTGATCTGGTTGGCCTTGTCATCCACAGTGAACACAACTGTGCTATCTTCTATCTTCTTCATGGCTGACCCAGTGGTCAGGGAAAACTTGATAATAACATAGTGGTCAAGCTTTGTTCTCCTGGGGGCCCTCTTCTGGGGGTATCTGGGCTGCCTTCAGAGTCTCTGTGGCTTAGGCCACAAGAAGGTGGGTGACGTGTGCATCTTCTTTTTTTTCCCTGTGGCTGTGCATACACTTGTGGATTGCCTTCTTGGCCTTTAACGCCTTTGCTCTGGTTTCTGTTTTGGGAGGGGCAGGAGCTTCCTTCTTCACTTTCGGTGCCATCTTCATAGAAAGGGCAGTGTCTATAGTTTTAATGCTTTAATTTAGGTTGACAAACCATTTCAAGTTAATATTTGTATATGATATGAAATAGAGTTCAAATTCATTCTTTTGCTTCTGGAAATCCAGTTGTTCCAGCACAATTTATTGAAAAGAATTTTTTCCCACATTTATTTTTTATCCTTATTAAAAAGTCAATTAATTGTAAATGTGAGGGCTTATTTCTGAACTTTCAACTCTGTTCCATGATTTGTATGTCTATCTTTATTTTAATACTACACAATCTTGATTGTTGTTACTTGGCATAAAGTTTTTAAATCAGAACATGTGAAGTTTTCAGCTTTGTTCTTTTTCAAGATTATTTTGGCCATCCCTGGTCTCTTGCATTTCTGTATGAATTTTAGGATCAACATATCAATTACTGCAAAAACAACAACAACACAAAATCCCCAATTGGGATTTTGCTAAACATTGTATTATAAAAATTTGGGCAATATTATTGTATTATACCTTTTAGTCTCTGAATATTAATGTGGTTGTTGTTGTTATGTGCCATCGAGTCACCTGAAACTCATAGTGACCCCTATATACAACAGCCCTAAACCCTTCTCTATCCTGTGCCAACCTCACTGTCTCTGACACACCTACCCTTGTTAGCCCAGTCACTGAATCAATCTGTCTCATCGATGTCTTCCTCTCTTGTGCTGTTCCTTCACTCTCTCAAGCATGACATGTACAAAGTATGTCAGATGAAACTTCAGAATCCTTGCATCCAAGGAGCAGCCTAGTCTCACCCTTTCTAGGACAAACCTGTTTGTTCTCCTAGCAGTCCATGGTATATTCACTACTCTTCTCTAGCACCACAGCTCAAAGGCATTGATTCTCCTATCATTCCTAGTCATTGTCCAGCTTCCTGACCATAGCAAGTAATTGAAAAGACTATGGCCTGCATCAGGTGCAAGACAATCTCCAGACTGACATCATTGTTCTTCAGTACTTTGGAGCGGCCTCTGACAACAATTCATCTTTTAATTTCCTGGCTGCTAATGCCAAGAGTGTTGATTGTAGGGCCAAGTAAACTAAAGCCGTTAACAGTCTCAATCTCTTCACCATCTATAATGATGCTCCCAGTCAGTCCAGCAGTGAGAATCTTTTGTCTTCTTAATGTTGAGCTTCAATCCATACTGAAGGCTGCAGTCCCTGATCTTCTGCGGCAAGAGCTTCAGGTCTTCCTCAGTTTCAGCAAGCAGGGTTGTGTCATCTGCATAACACAGATTGTTGATGAGTCTTCCTCCAATCCTTATGCCACATTTCTCCTCACAGAGTCCAGCCTCTGTAAAAAAAAATGAAGCTGGAGATAGAATAATAAAGTTTCGCACAATTAACTTATTCATTGCAAATACGTTTTATAAGAAACATAAATGCAGGCTATACACATGGATTTCATCTGATGGTATATATAGGAATCAGATTGATTACATCTGTGGAAAGAACCGCTGGAGAAGCTCAATATCAGCTGTGAAACTAGGCTAGGTGCTGATTGTTGAACAGACCACGATCTACTCATATGCAAATTCAAGCTGAAACTAAGGAAAATTAAGTCCACAGGAACCAAAATATGACATTGAGTCTATAACCACCTGAATTTTAAAACCATCTCAGGAACAGGTTTGAGGTCTTGAACACTAATGAGTAAAGACCAGATGAGTTATGGGAGTATATCAAGAATATCATCCAGGAAGATTGCAATTTTATTGAAACCTATTGATATCTTTAATTTTAACAGTATTAGGTGTTTTATTTTGTATTTTTAGATTTTCTTGATTGAATGTGGAGTGTGAGGGAAAGAACAAACTCAATAATGACACCAGTGTTTTTGGTTTGGGCAATGGGAGGGATGGTCTTACTATCATTTGACATAGCTAAGTTGGTTTGGGTTTTTTTTAATATCAAATGTTCACATTGGGACATGTTAATCTTGAGATGTCTGTTAGTTGTTGGCTAGTAGTTAGATACATGAGGCCATGTTTTGAGCTAGAATTCTTTTTTTTATATACACTTTGTATCTTTTATTCAAATAAAAAAGAGAATGATAATATTAAAAAAATAATAATCATGATCACAGAATGCAATAAAAGACTAGGAAGCATACTTTTTTAAACAAAAATTAAAAACACACCATAGTTGAGAAAGAATTACAGTGTCTACTGGCAAAAGCAGTTAAAGCAATAATAGACACATAACATACCCCCGGTGAGCATGGAAACTAACGTGATGTTCAAAGTCCGGGTAACAGCCAGGCTGCAGGCTTCATTGGTCAGGTGGCCAAACAATGCGCAATTGATCAATTAGAAAGGGAAACAACTTCCAATAAAAGGCCCTAAAATTGAGAATTGAGAAGGACAAAATATTCCATCTTTTTTTACGGCATTGAAGTCTATGGGGGAGAGAATAGTCTAAAAGATGGAGCTAGAATTCTTAGCCTAGAGTCATCTGCATGGGACATGGTGAGATCAACAAAGAAATGTGTATAGCTAAAGAAGAGAATCAAGGACTGACCCCTGGAGTGCTCAAAAACTAAGAAGTCAGATAAGCAGTTCTTTCCTTCATCTGTTCCAATGCAATGGTCTAAAGGAATGTCTAAAAGGAATATAGGATTAGGCATTTATATGTATGGCAACAGC